TTCTTCTGCTCTTTTTCTATTATGTTTTTTCTGCTAGCTAGTGCTATTTATGCTTCTTACTGACGTTTTCAGCTATATTCAGCTATTTTTGCTCTTAGCTGTTTTTTTTCCAACAGATTTGTTGTTTTTCTATTTTTCTGCAAAGTTAGGCTTTTTTGCTTCGTTCAGCTTTTCGCATTAATACTTTTCCTGTTAAATATTTTCAGCTCATTTTCAGCAGCTTTAGCTTAAGTTTTAAGCATGAAGCATTCACACTAGCATTTATGCTGGAAATGCAATTTATCTAGTTCAAATAGTTATCTACAGCAGGTAAGATATTTATTGTTCATAACCTTTCCACAATAAAATCCACTTTTTTTCTTCCTTTTAATTTAAGGTCTAAATAAGTGCTTAATTTTGTTCTGAAACCAAATTTCTTTTAACAATCAATATGAAAACAAATCCAGTGACTCTTTTTATTTATTTGTTTGTTTGTTTGTTTGTTTTTTTTACAGCATCTTTACCCCCAAACATGGGCAACTCCATCCTGGCTTCTCTTTCTCTGCCTCCATCCGGACGAGTCTCCTCAAATCCCTTAACAGGAGACAGCAAATCATCAAGTGAGCGGTGGAACGGCCCCCGGCCAGGGGACACGTCACCGTTGGTTACGCCTGTAACTGGACTAATTTCCACTGAAACCGTACCTGTCGTGGTCTCTGCCAGGAATAGAGTGCGGCAAGCCGAGCAGGCAACAGACGAACTACTGGATTCAAGTAAGAACCAGGCTTTCACTTCAGTCAAACGAAAGAAGGCCAAAGAAGATGGAGGGAAAGATGTTCAGGAACAGGCGGAGGATGAGGTGAGAGTTTTAAATCCAAGCAACGGAATAAAATACAAGCCAGGTGAYAAATCGGACGACAAAACTGAGGAAGATGAAGCAGAACCCTCCAGAGATGACCTGCGCGAGCACAGTGTCGGAAAGCTCCCCCTGCCCRAAGATCCGCCCTTCCGCTCCATTTTTGTTTCCTGTCTGAGCAAACAACCAAGAGTTGTTGTGGAAAAACTGTCATTTGTTTCTTCTGGCTGCAGCAGCTCATCTGAAGAAGAAGAAGAACAAGGAGGAGGAAGAGGAATAACCTCTTTCTATAAGAAACAAAACAGTCACAGGAGGAAGTTACCAGAACGGAAACAAACAAATCAGATTCAATCATCTGAATGTCCTGGTCTGGACAACAAACGGTAAGAGACACAAGAATAAGAAGCAAAGTGTGATTAAAAACATTTAGCCTCACATATAGCACTGGAAAACTGGGACACTGTGTAAAAAATATAATGCTCTAATTAGCAGTGATACAGCTAACCAAAAAATTAGCTTTACTAACTCATAATCTGCTAACAACAAATATAGCTTTGCTAACACCAAACATGTAAAAAAAAAAAAAAAAAAGTCCGCCGCTAAACAACTAGTAAAGTAAAAATTAGTGGAAACTAACGCTGATTGCTAACAGCTAAGACAACTGTCCATCTGTGTTGTCTTCTCCTTCCAGCTGAAGACCGGTGGGACTGACACAAAATGTTAGCTGTTAGCTGTTAGCACACTTTAACAAAAGCAAAACCTAATTAAACAGAAGCTAATTGATCCACTAACAATTTTCAAAGTTGGTAAAAAAAAAAGCTAATCCGTTAATTAATACAAATTCTGCTGTTAGCTGATTAGCAGAACCATGCCATCTAGGTTTTGTTTTTAACTTTGTATTAATTCTGCCATTGATCAGTTGTAATTC